TGCTCCAGGGCATGCAATACCTCTGACCTCTGTAGCCACTTGCACTCATGTGTGCATACTGACATGCAGACAGACATACCTACACTTAACTAAAAACAATACAATTTGTAGTTATGTATTTATATGTCTAAGTTTTGCCTCTGTGGATGTAGATCTAGGCAGCGTGTAACGCAATGCCTGCAGATGCAGAGGACGGTATCAGATGCTCTGGAACTGGAGTTACAGACAGTTGTGAGCTGCCATGTGGGTGTTGGGAATGAAACCAGGGTCCTCTTGAAGAGCAAACAGTGCTCTTAACCACTGACCCATTTCTCCAGCCCCGGATTTTAGGTTAGACGTTCAATGTGACAGGCAATGGTGGCACAGGCAGCTAGATCTCTGTAAGTTAGATGTCACCCTGATCAACAGAGTGAGTTCCAGAACAGCCAGGGCTACACACAGAAACCCTGTCTCAAACCGCCCCTCCGGCCAAAAAATGTAACTTGTATTTATGGTATATAAGATGATTCTTTGAAATATATGGTGTTTGTATATCTACACACTGCAAAATGGCTAGCTCAAGCTAATCAACTTATCTATTACCTCACATATTAATTTATAATGAGAACACTTAAAGTGCATTCTGAGAAATTGATTTCCAGTAGATCAAACATAGACTGATTAAGGAAAAGTTGGGCAGGATTCGTGCGAGTGGGAGGCGCTCCCAGTGACTTTGAGCTGTAAGAACATTCATCATTACTGACTCTAGTCACCATGGTATAACACAGATCTGTTGACTTTACTTTCATCTGACATGGGACTAGGGAAGTTATTTTTTCCTTTGCAAAATTTGATTAATCAGGGTAAAGAGGGAAGCTAAGGGAGATGAAGCAGAACTTCCTTCCAGGCCTAGCACAGACAGCAGATGACTATTGCCCACTCTACCATCTCTGCCTGCAGCAGCCTGCTGGAAAGTCCCTGCAAACCCATTTAACCACCTTTCTTGGTCTCCAAAGATGTCAATAAAAACAATTCTGCTTTCTTCTGAGCCCTGCATTAACCTAGACAATCTGCTTTCACCAAGCTATAGCCTGAACAGGAGAAATGGGCTTGGGAAGTTCAAGAAAACCCAGCCAGGGTGTTTGGTTTATAGCTGGGGCTGGAGAGGATAGGAGGGCTTTCAGCTCTTAGAGAGGACCTGAGTTCAGGTCTCAGGTCCCACATGGGGAAGGGGAGGTTCACAACCACCTGCAACTCCAAGTGGACATCTACATACACACACAATTAAGAAAAAATACATCTTGAGTGACTGGAGACATGGCTCAGAGGTTAAGAGCACTGGCTGCAGCCAGGCAGCAGTGGCTGCAAGCCTTTAAATTCTGAGCATTAGGGAGGCAGAGGCAGGCAGATCTCTGTGAGTTCAAGACCAGCCTGGTCTACAAGAGCTAGTTCCAGGACAGGCTTCAAAGCTACAGAGAAACCCTGTCTCCAAACAAACAAACAAACAAAAGACCAGCCTGGCCTACAATTGAATTCCAAGACAGTCAAAGCTATTACACAGAGAAACTCTGTCTCAAAAAACAAACAAACAAAAAAAGGCCAATGTTTGGTTCATATATCAATATCTTCCCTTCCTTCCTTCCTTCCTTCTTTCCTCCCTCTCTTTTTAAAAACTATTTATTTATTTATTTATTTATTTTTATGTGCACTGGTATCTTATCTGTGAGATGGTGTTGGGTCCCTGGAACTGGAGTTACACGCAGTTGTGAGCTGCTATGTGGGTGCTGAGAATTGAACCAGGGTCCTCTGGAAGAGAATCAGTGCTCTTAACCACTGAGCCATCTGTCCAGCACCTCTTCTTTCTTTCATTTGCTTGAAACAAGGTCTCACTATATAGTCCTTGCTGTCCTAGAACTCTGTAAGTAGACCAGCTATCCTGGAACTCAGAGATGCCCCTGCCTCTGCTTCCAGAGTGCGGGGCTAAAGGTGTGGCCACCCGGTTAGAGTACAGAGTAATCTGAGAGAAGTTAACTTGCCCACTCTGGGTTGCCAAGAGCCAATATGAGAGATGTGAAAATATGTATGTATGTATGTGTATATATATATATATATATGTATGTATCCACCCCCCACACACACATACACACACACAATAGCTGCTCTAGTTGTTAGTACGTGCTAGCATCTTCCCAGTTCATACCAATGTCTTAGTCAAATATTCATAAGCAAAACTAGCACACATCTGAATTCTGAATCACCTCCCAATGTGTCCTGAAAGGAAGGCACACAGGGCTCATACCTGTGTTAGCACTTTCACTGTCTACTTGAAGTACACTCCTGGACCATCAGACACTAGACCAAGGCAAAACAATCTTTAAAATTTTGAAATTACTATTTTTTAGCCAAGAGCATCTGACTCCTTTTTGTTTGTTTGTTTGAGTTTTTGTTTGTTTGTTTTTTCCAAGACAGGGTTTCTCTGTGTAATAGCTCTGGCTGTCCTAGAACTCTCTTTGTAGACCAGGCTGGCCTCAGACTCACTGAGATCCACCTGCCTCTGCCTCCCAAGAGCAGGAATCAAAGGTGTGTGCCACCATGGCCCAGCGAGCATCTGACTCCTTATCAGTAAAACTGGCAAAATATTATCTGCTCTGTGAGCCTGAGAGCTGACACACAGCACATCATGTGATAGAAGAAACCTTTCAGACAGGTGTGGTGCTCACTCCTTGGGAGGCTGAAGCCAGAGAAATTCCAACATGAAGCTGCCTTTAGTAACAGAGTAAGACCTTGTCTCAAAAGAACCAAATAAGCAAGTAGAAAAGATAGAGAGATGGCAGGGAAGTTCAGTGGGTAAAGCCACTAAATTGACCAGTCCCAGGACCTATGGGAGCAGAAGAGAGAGCTGACTTCCGGGTGTTGTCCTCTGGTGTCCACAGCTGGGCAGTGACATGTGAGCCATCGTCCTTCTATCCCTGTGACTGCCTGTCTGCTCTCACAGGAAGAGAAAGAAAGGAAAAGAGAATTATAGATATTTTTAATCCCAGCACTTGGGCAGAGACGGAAGGATCTCTGTGAGTTCGAGGTCAACCTTATCTACAAAGTGAACTCCAGAACAGGTTCCAAAGCTACTGAGAAACCCTGTCTTGAAAAAAAAAAGAAAGAGCCGGGCGGTGGTGGCGCACGCCTTTAATCCCAGCACTCGGGAGGCAGAGGCAGGCGGATCTCTGTGAGTTCGAGGCCAGCCTGGTCTACAAGAGCTAGTTCCAGGACAGGAACCAAAGCTACGGAGAAACCCTGTCTCGAAAAATCAAAAAAAAAAAAAAAAAGAAAGAAAGAAAGAAAGAAAAGAAAAGAAAGGAAAAAACAAAATTATAAATATTTCACAAGTTCGGTAATACCCTGTCTCAACAAACAAGACCAGAAGACACAGTGAGACCCTTTTTCAAATAAACAAACAAGATCTCACAACTTGACCTGAGATAAACCAGGTGTATCAAATTTTTTTTAATTTATTTATTATGTATACATATTCTGTCTGCGTGTATGCCTCCAGGCCAGAAGAGGGCACCAGACCTCATTACAGATGGTTGTGAGCCACCATGTGGTTGCTGGGAATTGAACTCAGGACCTTTGGAAGAGCAGGCAATGCTCTTAACCACTGAGCCATCTCTCCAGCCCAGGTGTATCAAATTTGAGTCAACACCTCATACCTACCTCAAGGCTGTAGGCAGAGACACATCCAAACCACTTTCTGTAGCAAACTGTGTACTGTGAACACGCTGGTGGCTCTGCTAACTAGATTAAAAGTTAAAAGACGAATCCTCACATCTTCAACTTTCTTACAGTGTTCCACCATCTCATAGTTCCTGCTCCTCAGAAGACAGCTTTAAGTGAAACGTGAAGACAGATAGAATTTATTGGACATATCACTAGATACACTGTTCTTGCGTTTTGTCAGTTTTTGTTTTTGAGGCAGGATCTTCTGTAGCCCAGGCTCACAGCAACCTCAGGGACACTCCTGCGCTGAGATTACAGGTGTGAACTCCTACACCAGGACAGTTTTCGAGCAACACTGATGTACTCACTATCAGGAGGCCGCCCTGGGCAATATGACTTCCTCACTCCAATTTCAAAACGCAAAACAAAACACATAACCAGTAATTATAGGAAAATAATAAGACCCCAAACAAAAAACAAACGTTTGGATAATGCGTGGCAGTTTTCCTGCCCTGCATCCCTGCGTGGGTTAACAGGGTCCCCAGAGTGCTGCAGTGTGTGGCGTGGTTCGCAGATTCACATGGCCGCGATTGCGCAACTAGCTGCCAGGAGGTGGAGGTCTGGTCCACGGGGTACAGGTACTGTCTGCGTAAGAAATAACTTGGGACCTCGAAATCGGAAGATAAACAAACCCAAATCCAGAGACTTCTACCCTCAGCCCGTAAGTTTCCACTCAACTTTTCTACAATGGTTTCTTGCTGGAACCGGGAGCCTCTGCCAAACTTCTGCGACCCCTCTGTTGGTCTTTTGTCGCCAATCACGAGGGCGTGGGCCTCGAAGTAGTCCGCTATTGGCTGGAAGCCCTGCCGTAAATCTTCAATGTCCAATTAGGATTCACGGGTAGAAGAGTGCCACGCGGCTATGGGGTGGACGGGGCGGGGGCGCCTCCAAATCTTGGCTTGGTTCTCTACCCTAAAATGGTTTGTTTCCCTCTTATAAAGACTGTGCCTTCGAAATAGAAAGCTCAGGTATCCCGTGTGCTTGTCACTCCCATCGCAGCTCTTTGCTGAGAGACATCAAGCCCTCAGCAAGATCTGTTAGCACTGGGGGACTCTGACAAAAGGGGCGTGGGTGCCTATAATCTTATTTCAGTTTGCATATGGGCAGCGCCTTAATGCTACTCTCAGATCCAGGTCGCGACAATGGTTCCTGGACAGGTGCAACCCAGCCCCCCTCCCCTCCCCCAAACTCCATGGACGGCGTAGGCGGGGCTTGACTGGGCAGGACCAGGATACAAGATCCTGGAGGAAAGAAAAGGTGTAGTGTTTGGGACTTCAGCGGGCTAGGTTGGTTTGGCAGGGCAAAGCTCTCCGAACAAAACCCAGGTAATACCTAGGGGGTTGTTTGCATGAGCCCGAACTGAACTTTTGCGAGGGGCTCTGCATGTAAGCGGAGAATGGACGGGAGCCAGAAGCTTGGGACAGCCGCCTCCTACTTTCTATAACCACCCCACCACCCCCACTACCTTCCTACAGAAGCATGGAGTCCGGGTGCCCTGAGTTGCTGGAGCCCCCAGAAGATATCTTCTCAACAGGATCCTTCCTGGAGCTGGGGCTCGACTGTCCTCCGTCAAAGGTTCTGATGGCTTAGGCTTCAAGATCAGGGCCCGCGAGACTGGGAGATGAGGAGGGGTGAGGGGCTGGGGCTGAGTGAGTTTGTTGAATCCAAGTGGGAATGAGATTAAGCCTTAAGTGGCTTCAGTTCTCACAAGGAAAGAGGTCTGCTAAGAGCCCACAAAATAGATATGAACTTTAACTATGTTCATACATACGTCTAAGAAGGAAAAACACCAAAATTGAAGCATAAAGGATGCAAGACTAATGTCAAGTAGGACTTTCAAAAATTTTCTCGGACACTCACACTCTTCTCCTTCTATAGGGCCTTCAGAAGAGCGAACCTGACGATCTCCTGAACCTCTTCATTGATCCCAATATGGTGTACTGCTCAGTAACAGCTCCTGGTAGCGACAGTGGTGTCTCAGAGGACCCTAGCTCCCCCGCCCCACAGATGCCCGACTCCCCCGCCCTCTATGAGGTTGTCTATGAGGCAGGGGCCGTGCAGAGCACTCAGCAGGAAGCGGGGCCAGCCTTCGGACTCATCTCCATCCAGATAGGTCAGTGTCCCTTTTGGGCCCAGCCCTGGCCGTGAGATTTAGGGGAGAAGGTCCCCAAACTGTGCACTGCCCAGTCACTGCTGATTCCTCCCTGTCTCTCTATCCGCCTTAGAGCAATGGAGCTCTGCATTCATGGCGCCTGAGACCTGCACGGTCAGTGGGCTACCCTCTGAGGCTCATAGACACATCCTGCCTCGAGCCAGCACTGGAGCCCCAGCAGCTCCTGATGCCCTGGTAAGTCGTGAGACCCGCTAGAACGGGCGCTCCTCGGAACACGTGTCCTTACATAAATGGGGGCACAGGGGAAAAGGGAGGGGAAGCTAATGAGGAACAGGTCTGTCCCACTTTTGGTGCTGATGGGTTTGAAGGCCAAGGAAAAACAAGCAATTCTAAGAACAAGGAAGCGTGGGGAGGAGAGCTATGGGGGGGTCAGAGTGATAAGGACTCACTTAAGTGTGATGAGGGAAGCTGCAGTCAGAGCTCTAGAGACACCTAGACATAGAGTGCCCTTATATGCCACCAGAGCTGCTCTCAGCCTTGGGTCAGGAAAGGGAATTGGGACAGGACACCTGGGAATCCACTAATGAGGACAGGGTGATAGAGAAACAGTAGCAAGTGTTTGCGCTGGAACAGTTGCCCGTGGCCAGGGCTGCAGTGATGTGCAGAGCACCCTATCTTCTCGAGATGGGTTAACGCTCATGCCTGCTGGGCAGACCAATAGAGGCCAAACTCAGGCCAAGCTCCTCTCTGTGCCTGAAGCTGGGACCAGAAGCCTTGCTAGGGGTTTGTAGATCAGCACAAGATTTGTGCTTGTTTTATTTTTAGACAAAGCCCTCTGCGCTCCATCCTCAGAGATTTTGGTTAGAGAGATTGGAAGAAACACGCCATGAAAACATTTGGAGGAAAAAGGGGAGGATCAGGAAAGGAAATAGGAAATGGTTTAGCCAAGAGCCAAAGGCCATCCAAAAGCAAAAGCCAGAGGCTGAGATGGGTCTGTGAGAAAAAGCAATCACTATGTGGGCATGAGGGCCTGAGCTGGGGGTTCATATCCCCAGCACCCACATAAACAGCTACAGATCCCAGACCCCATGCTCTGAGGGCTGAAGCAGGGGGTTCACGGGGCTTGCTGAGCACCAGCCTAGCTCCAGGTCTGGTGAGAAACTCAGTCTCAGAGGAAAGGTGGAGGGTGCTAGAACAGGACACCTGTATTGCCACTATGGCCTCTAGTCACGTGTGCCACACCCGCACATACATGTGCAACTACATCTCTCTGACTCTTACACACACACCACACAGTAAAAAACCAAATTATCCTTGTAAAAGTTTTTTTTTAATTCACAGCCAGAACATTCTTTTTTTTTTTTTAAGATTTATTTATTTATTATGTGTACAGCATTCCTTCCATGTGTGCCCGCATGCCAGAAGGGGGCACCAGGTCTCATTATAGATGGCTGTGAGCCACCATGTGGTTGCTGGGAATTGAACTCAGGACCTCTGGAAGAGTAGTCAGTGCTCTTAACCACTGAGCCATCTCTCCAGCCCCCCTTGTAAAAGTTTTTTATTATTGTGTATACAAGTGAGGGAGAAGGACGGTGCACTGTGTCATGGCTTATGTGGAGGTCAGAGGACAACTTTGTAGCACTGGTTCTCTCTTTCCTCCTCTACGTGGGTTCCAAAGATTAAACTCAGACTTTGAGTCTTGTGTGGCAAGTGCTTTATCTGCTGAGCCATCTTACCAGCTACAGACTAAGATAGTCTTAAGTGAAATGTAAGCTGGGTGTGGTGGCACACCAGAAATCTCTGTGCTCGGGAGGCAGGGCAGGAAGAGGACCACAGACTCAAGGCCAGCCTAGTCTACTAGTGACATCCTGTCTCAAAAAAAAAAAAAAAATCCAGGGACCAGAGTGTTGGCTCAGTAGTTAAGAGCACTAGCTGCTTTGCCAGGGGACCCAAGTTCAAGTCCTAGCTCACAATTGTCTATAACTCCAGTTCCAAGGGATCCAACATCCTCTTCCAGCTTCTGTGAGCACCAGGCATGCAAGCAAACACCCAATTAAAACACATAATTAAAAATAATGATAAAACACAAAAACATAAACAAAACAAAACAAAAACAAAAACGGGCTGGAGAGATGGCTGAGCAGTTAAGAGCACTGGCTGCTCTTCCAGAGGACTCAGGTTCAATTCCCAGCACACACATGGCAGCTCACAACTGTCTGTAACTCTGTTCCAAGGGATCTGACACCTTAAAATCAATGAATATAAAATAAAATTAAACATTATTTAAAAAAACAAACAATACTCGGGAGGCAAAGGCAGGCAGATCTCTTGAGTTCCAGGTCATCCTGGTCTACAGAGCAAGTTCCATGACAGTCAAGACTATACAGAAAGACCCTATCTCCAAAAACCAACCACCTCCAAAAAAATAAAAAAAAATTCCAAAGTGTAAATCTTTTAAAAAGAAATACTAGGATCAGCAAGATGGCTTATTGGACAAAGGAATTAGCCATTAGCTGCCAAACCTGCCAACTTCAGTTTGATCCCAAGAACCTACATGGTGCGATAAAGCTACTCCTGGGAGTTATCTTTTGACCTTCACACATGCAGTGGACACAAGCTCGTCCACACAGATCAACACACACACACACACCTCCACACCTGCACTGGGGCACAAGCTTGTCCACACAGATCAACACAAACACACACCTCTACACGTGCACTGGACACAACTCGCCCACAGAGATCGACACAAACACACACACACCTCCACACATGCACAAGCTCGTCCACACAGATCGACACAAACACACACACACCTCCACACGTGCACTGGACACAACTCACCCACACAGAACGACACAAACACACACACACACACACACACACACACACACACACACCATAAATAAATGGATGCCAGTGAGAAGGCAGGGTCCTCAGCTGACGGGCTCAGCTTAACCAGTCACCATCTACCCTTCCCACACACTTCGCTTGAGAGGTCAGCCTAACTGTCCTTACAAACTCCATGTCTGGGAGTCACAGCTTGAACTGACAGTTGGAGCTTAGAACCTGATGATTCACACGTCCCTGTGGCTGACAGGCAACCAAATATTTCATCAAATGTAAGGTAATAACCAAATGATTTACCTGACAAGGAAATTCAACAAAGCCCATCATAGTGCCTTCTGAGTGCCCCAAGGTCTGGGGACACAGAGCAGAGCAGGCCCTCTCTGACTTCTGAGTGCTCTGAGGTCTGAGGAGACAAAGCACAGCAGGCCCTCTCTAACTTGATCAATAATGTCAAGTTTCTATATGTGGATAGAAAACTTCACTCTGCCTCCTCAGCTTCGGTTAGGCCCTTTGGCTTGTCACAGAGCCCGTCTGAATGAGCTTTCCGCCCCTGACCTCACTCACCACTCAGCACAAACGGGAGCCCCTCTCCTGAAAGAGTTCTGGGGGTGGAGAGGCAGCCTGGGTGCTGGAAGCAGGCAACCTTGACCCTGCTCATCTTCTGCCTCTCTTCCCAGCTGTCCTGCCAACGTCTGTTCCTGACAGATGAAGAGAAGCATCTGCTGGGGCAAGAAGGGGTTTCTCTGCCCTCTCACCTGCCCCTCACTAAGGTAAGAACTGTCCCCAAAGGGTGTTCCATCCCAGGAGCTCCATTCAACCTCCAAAGAGCCTGGTTTGCAGGGGCAGTGGGGAGTTAAGGGAGGCTAAGGGCCCAGCTCTGCACGCTTTGGGCATCTAGGCAGAGGAACGAGTACTCAAGAAGGTCAGGAGGAAAATCCGCAACAAGCAGTCAGCGCAGGACAGCCGACGGCGGAAGAAAGAATACATAGGCGGGCTGGAGAGCAGGTGTGTCTGGGCACCGCCCCCTTCCTCACCTAGGCAAGCATTTTAGGGGACCAGCTGTCAAGCGTGGTCTCCTCTATACTCCCTAGAGTGGCAGCCTGTTCTGCACAGAATCAGGAACTACAGAGAAAAGTCCAGGAGCTAGAGAGGCAGAACACGTAAGTAGAAGCAGTGTCCGGAGGGAGGATGCAGCTCCAGGCAAGCTGTAAGAACTTGGGCTAACTCTCCATTCTTCTCCTAGCTCCTTGGTGGCACAGGTCCATCAGTTACAGATGCTCACTGCTCAGACCTCCAGCAGAGCTGCCCAGACCAGTACCTGTGTTCTGGTACTTCTCTCTCCCCTTCTCCCCCGCCATCTTCCACACTTCCATCTAATACCCCCACTACCTAGCCGTTTCCCAAACCCTGATAACTGTACCGACACTGTTGATGCTGTCTCCTCCTCTGCTGTCCCCAACGCCCCTATGCCCCCCTGCTCCTTTCAGATTCTACTCTTTTCACTGGCTCTCATCATCCTGCCCAGCTTCAGCCCCTTCCAGGGTCAACCAGAAGGCAGACCTAAGGCTTACCAGCCTCATGGAGGTAAGAAGCCAGAAAAGGATTCTCTAAGACAATCCAACAGTGGGAATACTCTTGGTGAGTCTCCCACATGCACAAATGCTGTACCACATTTTCTCCTCAGTGATTTCCAGAAATATCTTGACTCACAAGGACATGACAGAAAGCCCAGAGGTTCCAGTGGTGAAGTCCCAACTGGAGGGGGGACTGCCTGAAGTCCCAGCTGCAAATGGCTCTACGAAGACACAGTTAAAGCTGGGGACGAGGAACAGACCGACTGGGCAGATCAGAGGGATGCTGCATGCGGATGAGATGTAAGCCTTTCCAATCACACAAGAACCCAGAGGCTTCCCTGACTATTCCATCTGGAATTCCCGTTTAGGCGTCCATACCCTGGAGTTCTAACTCATTCAAGATTCCACAGATCCACAGAGGCCAGGCTGCTTACATGGCAGGGCTTCTCATACACTTCTCTCCTATATTTGTGATTTCTTCTTTGGGGATGGGACTAACAGGAAGCAAGTTTTGACTCAGAAATAAACTTTCTAACTAAAATTCAATCCCAGAAAATTTTACTGCTTCAGACAAGTTCCTACTATAGAGCCTAAACTGGTCTCAAACTCTGGTTCCCTCCCAAGTGCTAGTACTACAAGTATGAAGGACCACATTCAGCTTAGCTTTTTATTACTGTATATAAGTATGATATGTAAGTATTATTTTATGTCTAATACTCGTGTGAAGGTCAGGGGCAACTTTTTTGATTTTTCGAGACAGGGTTGCTCACTGGAACTCACTCTAACAGAGATCCGCCTGCCTCTGCCTCCCGGTGCTGGGATTATAGCTGTGCACCAGCATCTCCTGGCTCATGGCAACTTTTTAGCTTTCTTTCCTCTCACTATGCAGTCTAGGGACTTCAAACTCATGTCTTAGGCCTATATAGCAAACACTTCTTGAATTCGTTGTTTGGAGACAGGTTTCTCTGTGTAGTCTGGCTGTCTCAAAACTTGCTCTGTAGACCAGGCTGGCCTTGAACTCAAGAGATCTGCCTGCCTCTGTCTCACAAGTGCCAGGACTAAAGAAGTGTGCCACCACTGTCAAAATGTTTATGTATGTATCTATGTGCGTACGTGTGGGTGTCCATAGAGGGCAATGGATCCCTGGAGCTGGCAGTTGTGAGCTCTGCCAGACACAGGTACTGGAACTAAACAAAATCCTCAGGAAAAGCAGCAAGTTCTCTTAATTGTGGAGCCATCTTTCCAGCCGCTGCACCAAGCACTCTAACACCTAAGTCACTTTACCAGCCCCAAAATTTTTTTTTTTTAAAGATTTTATTTATTTATTGTGTGTACAAGAGGGTACCAGATCTCATTACAGATGGTTGTGAGCCACCATGTGGTTGCTGGGAATTGAACTCAGGACCTCTGGAAGAACAGTCAGTGTTCTTAATCTCTGAGCCATCTCTCCAGCCCCAGAAATTTTTTTTTTTTTTTTGGTTTTTCGAGACAGGGTTTCTCTGTGGCTTTGGAGCCTGTCCTGGAACTAGCTCTGTAGACCAGGCTGGTCTCGAACTCACAGAGATCCGCCTGCCTCTGCCTCCCGAGTGCTGGGATTAAAGGCGTGCGCCACCACCGCCCGGCAGCCCAGAAATTTTAAATAAGAATAAATGATTGAGCCTGGGAAGATGAATCAGTGGTTAAGAACATTTGTTGTGGGCTAGAGAGATGGCTCAGTGATTAAGAGCATTGCCTGCTCTTCCAAAGGTCCTGAGTTCAATTCCCAGCAACCACATGGTGGCTCACAACCATCTTTAAAGAGGTCTGGTGCCCTCTTCTGGCCTGCAGACATGCACACAGACAGAATATTGTATACACAATAAATAAATAAATATTAAAAAAAAAAAAAAGAACATTTGTTGTTCATGCAGAGGACCTGAGTTCCACTCCTAGTACTTACATGGCAACTCACAGCCATCTACAATACCAGTTTAGGGGACCCGACATCCTCTTCCTACCTGAGGATACCAGGCAGACACATGGTGCATGCGCACGCAGGTAAACCAATCACACAAATAAAATACAAGATAAATAAATCTAAAAAAAAATTTAAGAGTAAAAGAAGGAAGAGAATTGTTACCTGATAAATCACCATTCCCTACCACCACCCGACTCAAATTATTTTTTTAAAAAAGACGTATTCACTTTGGGGCTGAAGTGGTTCAGTGGTTAAGAGCACTTGTTGGACCAGTGTTCGATGCCCTGTGCCGTGTGGCAGCACAGGACCTGGCATCCTCTCCTGCCCTCCAAGGGCACTGACAGGCAGAGTGCACAAACATACATGCAGTCTCTTATACACATGGGGAAAATTTTTAAAAAGAAAAGGATTGGCCGGGCGGTGGTGGCGCACGCCTTTAATCCCAGCACTTGGGAGGCAGAGTCAGGTGGATCTCTGTGAGTTCGAGACCAGCCTGGTCTACAAGAGCTAGTTCCAGGACAGGCTCCAAAACCACAGAAAAACCCTGTCTCGAAAAACCAAAATAAAACAATAAAAATAAAAATAAAAGGATTTATTCGTTTTCCTGTGAATATCTGTCTATTTCTGTATGAGTTTGTGCACTGCTTGCCTGCAGGTACCCAGAGACTGCAGTGCATCAGATCTCCTGATGTTAGAATTACAAGTGGATGTAAATCACCTGATTGGGATGCTAGCAACGGAATCCAGATCCTACGAGCAGCAAGTACTCTTAATCACTAAGCAAACTCACCAACCTCTTAATTTAATTTTTTTGAGATGTAGTCTCACTACATATCCTTGGCTGGCTGGGAGCTCCTTGTGTAGAAAAGCTGGCCTTGAACTCAGAGATCTGCCTGTCACCCAAGTTTGGGATTCAAGGGATGTGCCACCACACCCAGTCCCCCCACACCAAACTATCATAGGGAAGGAAATTGTGTTACTCCTTTATTATTTTTTTGCTTTTTAGAGACAGTCTTGTTATGTAGCTCAGGCTAGCCTACCTATAAATTTACCCAGGATCCTCCTGCCTCACTCTCTCAAGGGCTGTGGTTACAAGTGTGTGCCACTATGCCCGGCTCTACTTTACTTTTTATTGTGCTCATTAATGGTCTGGAAGTCAGGGAAAGGTGCTACTACCACAGGCATATGAGTGCAAATTAGCCCACTGGCCCTTCTCCATCTGAGATACAGTCCATAAGACCGGCATAATACAGTGGAATTCGGCTATATGGATTCAATTTGCTTCCGGACTTTCTCAAGAGCCTTTCTGTCCAGCTGTCGCTGACGAAGGATGACAAGGCACGCGAAGAGTAAAGCCACACCCACCATGGTGCCTTCAAACTTCCAGAAGAGGCGCTGTTCCATCAGAGCTGACCGGCAGCTGAGGGCAGAAGAAGGACAGTCATTCACAGAAGCAGCCAGTCTCTCTTAACTACTGTCCTCTACTTCAGCCTACCCAAGACGCTATCCAAACAGAAGGGAAACTGGAGTCAGTCACGCTTTAAAGTGGCATTAATCAATTTGATTACTAAAATAAAACAAATAAAGTCAGGTGTGGTGGCGCACCTTTAGTCCCAGCACTCCAGAGGCAGAGAGGCAGGGGAACCTCTGTGAGTTCAAGGTCAGCCTGGTCAACAGAGTAAGTTGAGTTCTAGGACAGCCAAGACTGTTTACATAGAGCAACCCTGTCTTGAACCCCCCCCCCAATACCTCAAAAAGCCTACTTTTTTGTTAGGCTGTGTGTGCACACTCATAAAAGAAGAGGTTGCCATCTTCTCCCCATCCCATAGGACAGACAGTGAGAAGACACCTTGCTGGAGTGAGTTCTGTATATCTACCATCTGGGTTCTGAGTATCAAACTCAAGTTGTTGTTTTTTAAAGATTTATTTATTTATTTTATATCTGACTGCTTTTTTGTATGTATGTATATGTACCATATGTGTACCTGGTGCCCAACAAGGCCAGAAGAGGGTGCTAGATACCCTGGAAAAGGAGTTACAGACTATGTGGGTGTTGGGAACTGAGTCAGGTCCTCTGCAAGAGTAGTGCTTTTAACCTCTGTGTCACTGCTCCAGTCCCCCACGTTCTCAGGTTTGGCAGGAAGTTCCTCTACCTACCATGACATCTAATTTCTCTCTTAGAAAGACGTGCGTCAGCCGGGCGGTGGTGGCGCACGCCTTTAATCCCAGCACTTGGGAGGCAGAGGCAGGCGGATCTCTGTGAGTTCGAAACCAGTCTGGTCTACAAGAGCTAATTCCAGGACAGGCTCCAAAAACCACCGAGAAACCCTGTCTCGAAAAACCAAAAAAAAAAAAAAAAAAAAAAAAACAAACAAGAAAGAAAGACGTGCGCCATTCCATCTGGCTCAGCTATTTATTTAACAATCACTCCGCAGCCTTGGCTGACCTGAGCTCCCTATGGAGACCAAGCTGTCTTGAACTCAGAGAGCTAAGCCTATCTCCTGAGTGCTAGGATTCAAGGCACGATACGCCCCCATCTCCTGAACCTTTATTTTCCTTTTAAGCAACGCTGCAGATTAGACTTGGCCTCATACATACTAGGCAAGTACTCTACCAATGAGCTATATTCTCCACCTGGCCAAACTATTTGATCAGAAAACATGGCTAATGACATAGAGCTGAAGACTAGGAGTTAGGAGTAATTTGGCTCAAATCCCCTCCTCTTTCCTGTGTGTCAAACTGCACCGCAGCCAGGAGAGGGCTACCTATGGTAAGGGGATCAGGTCACCTCAAAGAAGAGAAGCGGTCCTTACCTTTTGAATTCGTTCCTTTTAGAGGAGCGGCATGTGATTTTCTCCACATAGCCTGTAGAACCACACTCAGGCGTAGTTTTCTGCCAAAGGAAAGGTCCAAAACCACACGTTAGGGAGGAGGAGTAGAAAAAACGGAAGACCTGATGATATTCAAAAAGGGCCTGCGGCAGTGGACAGCAAACAACTGATGGAGAGCCCTGATGTGGATGGTGGTGACATAATTAGGAAGGCAACAATCTAGAAGGTAAGGAAAAACTCCTGTCTACTGTATTACACACACCTTTAATCCTAGAAGGCAGAGACAGGTGGATCTCTGAGTTTGAGGCCAGCCTGGTCTACAGAGTTCCAGGACATCTAAGGCTACACAGTGAAAACCTGTTTGAAAAACAAAAACTAATACTTGGGGACTGGAGAGCTGGCCCAGTGTCTAAAAGCACTGGCTGCTCTTCCAGAGGACGAGGGTTCAATTCCCAGCATCAACATGGCAGCTCACAACTGTCTGTAACTTCGGTACCAGGGGACCCGACACCCTCACACAGACGTACATGTGGGCAGAACACCAAAAGAAGCAAAAAACTCACAATCTGGAAGTTAGAACACGGAGTACACTCTTCAGTCACCACAAACTCTTCCACCAGCCAACATGGCGAAGTTGAGGTGCTCACTAAAAGGAGAGAGAGAAAAATGGCCAGCCGAAGACTATTCAAAAACATTTCTCTCTAAGGGTCTACCCATCCAGCTTCCCAGCACAGCGCTTGCCCTCATTCAATGTGACGCTTCCTTTTCTATCTGTGCTCTTGCTACACTAAAAAAAAAAAAAAGACATTCAAAATCAAAACAAACTAGAGAGGTACGGGGTTCCCGGGCAATCACACACCTGACAGCTTCTCCTCGCGCACGGAAGCCTCTGCTTCACTGCAGACAGGAAAAGGGGGTGAGAACATCGGTGAGAACGCAGAACATGGGGCACACCCACTTCAGTGGCTGAGCAGTCCGGGTTCATGGGGGCAAGGACCATGGGGTCCGCCTGCGCGCCCCCTTTTCCTCCCTCGGTACCCACTTACCAGAGCTTCAAGGTGAAAGCACACAGCAACCAGCATAGGTAGCGGCCCCGGGGGAGGCCACGCCTCCCCGCACCCACAAGCATGGAGCAGTCAGTGTCGCACCTGTTGCAGCAGACCTCCCTGAGGTTCCAGCTCAGAGCAGCGCTGTGCCAGAGTTCTCTCCCTGGGCCAACTAAGGCACTATTGGAACGGCCTCGCGACCTCAGCGAGAATAATCCATGGGAATTTGATGGCGAGAAGCGCGAGGTCTTTGTGGAGGCGCAAGGCTGGAGGAAGGGCGCGCGGGTCCGGACTCAGTGCCGGCACCCTTCGACCTAGATCTCGGGAGCGGCCATCTTGCTCGCGGAGGCTCTTGGTCCCGCTCTAGCGTCGCCGACTCGTCCGTGTGTGCTGTCGTCTCCTCCTGGGGCTTGTAGTCGTTCCGGACTCGGGCCGCTGGATCTCACTGCGTTTGCGCAGCAACACGCGACTGATTAGCTGGCGCCGCGCGGCATTGTGGTCGTTGTAGTATTTGCACAGCCAACTGGAAAGGCGGTTAAGGAAATTTTGTTCTCGCTTCCCTTCTCGCTGGTATCGCCTGTTTGTCCATTTAAAACTAGGTGAGCAGGGAGACATAAAAAAAAAAAAAGGGACTTAAATACGCTGCTCTGTCTGGACTTAGGGTATTCATTAAAATTGTGGGTTCAGCCGGGCGGTGGTGGTGCACGCCTTTAATCCCAGCACTCGGGAGGCAGAGGCAGGTGGATCTCTGTGAGTTCGAGACCAGCCTGGTCTACAAGAGCTAGTCCAGGACAGGCTCCAAAACCACAGAGAAACCCTGTCTCGAAAAACCAAAAAAATAAAAAATAAAAAAAATAAAAAATTGTGGGTTCAGCATTAGGCACTTTTATTTTTTATTTTTTTATTTGTTTTTATTTTTTTATTTGTTTTAAAGGCGTGCGCCACCACCGCCCGCCTAGCATTAGGCTCTTTGATACCACCTCCCCTCCCTGCGCACTTATCCCTTGCTCACCACCCTGGACAGCCTTGAGGAGTTGGGTCCGGGGAACCTACTGATGGATGCGGGGCTGGATCAAAGTTGAAAATTGCTCTTGTCCCTACTCTACACAGATGAACCGTGTCCGTGGGAGATTTTTATTTATTTGTTTGTTTGTTTGAGACAGGGTTTCTCTGTGTCCCCCTGGCTGTGCTGGAACTCATTCTGTAGAACAGTTCTCAAACTCAAGTTCTGCTTGCCTCTTCCCAAGAATGGGGATTAAATGGCTTGTGACACCACAAATGTCTAGAGCATGGAGATTTTAAATTGAAAGCAGTGTTGGAGTTGGATTCATGTACTTTTCAGCTACACGACTTCAGAACAACATCTGGCCTGGCCTTTAGTCCCAGCAGAGGCAAGTGGGTCTCTGTGAGGTTTTTTTTTTTTTTGGTTGCTTATTTATTTATTTATTTATTTATTTATTTATTTATTTATTTAAGATTTCTGTCTCTTCCCCGCCACCGCCTCCCATTTCCCTCCCCCTTCCCCAATCAAGTCCCCCTCCCTCGTCAGCCCAAAGAGCAATCAGGGTTCCCTGCCCTGTGGGAAGTCCAAGGACCACCCACCTCCATCCAGGTCTAGTAAGGTGAACATCCAAACAGCCTAGGCTCCCACAAAGCAGTACGTGCAGTAGGATCAAAAACCCATTGCCATTGTTCTTGAGTTCTCAGTAGTCCTCATTGTCCGCTATGTTCAGCGAGTCCGGTTTTATCCCAGGCTTTTTCAGACCCAGTCCAGCTGGCCTTGGTGAGTTCCCGATAGAACATCTCCATTGTCTCAGTGTGTGGGTGCACCCCTCGCGGTCCTGAGTTCCTTGCTCGTGCTCTCTCTCCTTCTGCTCCTGATTTGGACCTTGAGATCTCTGTGAGTTTTTGAGACAAACCTCTACAAAGTGAGTTCCAGGCCAACCAGAATAACACAATGAGAGACTCTGTATGAGAGAGAGAGAGAGACAGAGAGACAGAGAGATCTGCCCTGCTGGAGAGATGGCTCAGTAGTTAAGAGCACTGACTGACACTGGCTGCTCTTCCAAAGATACAGCTGATTCCCAGCACCCACAAGGAACTCACTACTTGTGAGTCCAGTTGCAGAAGCTTGATCTTACACTCTCTTTTGGCCATCACAGGCTCTGGGCATGCAAAAGATGCACAGCAACACACACACACACACAATAATTTTTTTTTTTTTTTGGTTTTTCGAGACAGGGTTTCTCTGTGGTTTTGGAGCCTGTCCTGGAAACTAGCTCTTGTAGACCAGGCTGGTCTCGAACTCACAGAGATCCGCCTGCCTCTGCCTCCCGAGTGCTGGGATTAAAGGCGTGCGCCACCACCGCCCGGCTACACAATAATTTTTTAAAATAAAAATTCGTCCTTGGGATGTGATTAAAATGTTAGTCTTCTTGGGAAGTCACGGGGTCCTGATATGTATCCCTGACTGCACTCCCTCTTCTGCATCCTGAGTGTCATTTCCAAGGTACATGAGAATCCATCTCAAAAACTAATAAATAAATATAATTCCAGATTTAGTGTAGACCAAAATGTTTCATTAAAAAAAGTATTTAGGGGGGCTGGAGAGATGGCTCAGTGGTTAAGAGCACTGCCTGCTCTTCCAAAGGTCCTGAGTTCAATTCCCAGCAACCACATAGTGGCTCACAACCATCTGGAATGAGGTCTGGTGCCCTCTTCTGGCCTGCAGACATACACATAGACAGAATATTGTATACATAATAAATAAATAAATATTTTAAAAAAAGTATTTAGCCTTTAATCCCAGCACTCAGGAGGCAGAGGGAGACAGATCTCTGTGAGTTCGTGAGATCTCTATAATGTGTCTATAGAGTGAGTTCTAGGACAGCCAGAGATACACAGAGAAACCCTGTCTCAGAGAAAATAAAGGAACCTCATCCAGGCAGTAGCTCATAGGCACAGCCACGTTGCTTTGGAATTCATCCTGATTTTCTGTATTACCAGGAAAGAGTAACTAGGCCTCTTGTACCTCTGTTCTAAGCAGGAGTTCCCTGACAGTGGGGCTTCTCTCTCTTCCTGAACCTCCTGTCCTCACCATGTGGCCACTTGTCTTTTCAGGCTGAAACTGAGTGGCTTCTTTTTTTCTTTCTCCTCCTCCCGGAAGCTGCTGAGACAACTCTGCCCCAGGAAGTGATTTTCTTCTTTAACTCTAGAAGAATTGCCCATGACACTTAGGAAGGCTGGCAAGCTAAATGTGTGTGGTTATTTTCGTCCCCCACCCTGCAAAACACTGTAAAGCATTTGGCTATCATATTACAACACACTATTGTTGATCTCCGGCCCCAAGGGGAAGGAGATTTGCAAGTTTTTGATTTTTTTTTATAAAGAATTTGAATAATTTTAAATGTATTTTTAGAGCTGGTCATGGTGGTGCCCCAGCACTCAAGAGGCAGAGGCAGGCAGATATGCTTAGTGAGATCATTGTCTCCAAAATATATATACATATATTTTTATCTTGTGTATGTTCATGTAAGTCTGTAAGTGAGTGCTTTTTGTGCCATGCTGTGCTTGTGGAGGTCCAAAGACAATTTTCTAGAAGTTTTTTTTCACTTTTTTTTTGCTTTGTTTTTGAGACAAATGTAGCCCTGGCTGACCTGGAACTCCCTCTGTAAATCAGGCTGGCCTCAAATTCAGACACCCATCTGCCTCTGTCTCCGCCCGGCCAGGAATAGACAAAATCTTTTTTTTTTTCTAATATTTATTTATTTATTATGTATACAATATTCTGCCTGTGTGTATACCTGCAGGCCAGAAGAGGGCATCAGACCCCATTACAGATGGTTGTGAGCCACCATGTGGTTGCCGGGAATTGAACTCAGGACCTTTGGAAGAGCAGGCAATGCTCTTAACCTCTGAGCCATCTCTCCAGCCCCCTAGACAAAATCTTAAAAGAAAAACACTCTTATTAGGTTTTCTTTTTAAGTTTTGGTTTTTTGGCTGGGCGGTGGTGGCGTATGCCTTTAATCCCAGCACTTGGGAGGCAGAGGCAGGCGGATCTCTGTGAGTTCGAGACCAGCCTGGTCTACAGAGCTAGTTCCAGGACAGGCTCCAAAGCTACAGAGAAACCCTGTCTCAAAAAACCAAGATTTTGTCTATTCCTCTGCTTACATGTGCCACCAAAAAGCTGTTAGCAATCACTTATTGTCTGTCATAGAGCAGATGCTCAGAAAATACTGATAAATATGTGAATCTCTCCCATGTCTCCTCCTCCCTTCAAACTGTGAGAAAAGTTGGTTTTCGTCTTTATATCAAAAGATGGCCAGCCCATGAATGGCCAATATTTCACAAATCTCTCCCACCTCATAAAACTACTATATAGCAAGGAATCCAATTCTCTTTACTCACCTGGTAAAACTTTGTTTACAAAAAGCCTTGCTGGCTGGGTGGTGGTGGCGCAGGCCTTTAATCCCAGGAGAGGCAGGCGGATCTCTGTGAGTTCGAGGCCGGCCTGGTCTACAGAGCTAGTTCCAGGGCAGTTTCCAAAGCTACAGAGAAACCCTGTCTCAAAAAAAAAAAAAAAAAAAAAAAAAAAAAAGCAAAAAGTACCAGGCAGGCAGATCTCTGTGAGTTCAAGGCCAGCCTGGTCTACAGAATGAGTTCCAGGACAGCTAGGGCTACTGTTATACAGAGAAACCCTGTCTCAGACAAACCAAAGGGTTGGGGAGGGTGGACAACAAAAAACCCTTGCGGCATTTCCAGTACTTGCTGGTCTGCACGCGCGACTGACCCCTTCCCTCTTTCTCTCATTTCCTTTTTGAGGAATCTGTTTGTTTTGTTTTTGAAGACAGGGTTTCTCTGTAGTTTTAGAGCCCATCCTGGAACTAGCTCTTGTTGACCAGGCTGACTTAGAACTCACAGAGACCCGCCTGCCTCAGCCTCCTGAGTGCTGGGATTAAAGGCGTGCGCCACCAACTGCCCAACTTGAGGAATCTTTTGAAGAGTGTGAAGCTGAGCTCTCACGGGTGGGCTGAGGCAGAGTAGGTCACCCCTTGCATTAGAACAAAAACTAAGTGACTGTCTAGTCTGGCTGTAGCACACTGTTTTTGTTAAAAGAAATTGGTTTGCCAGGTTACTTTTTTTGTTTTGTTTTCAAGACAGGGTTTCTCTGTGTAACCTTGGCTGTCCTGGAAATCACCCTATAGACAAGACTGGCCTTGAACTAACAGAGAGCCACCTACCTCTGCCTCCCTAGTGCTGGGATTGAAGCTGAGCCACCACTGCCAGGCTTCTTCTTGCAGTTAAAGGGGGCAGGGGCAAGGAAGGGGAACCCAGGCAGATGCAGGTAAAGCAGCATCTTCAAGTGACAAGAACTGGTTCTGAGTGGAGAGCAGTCTGACAGAATACAAGTCATGTGATGTAAAACAGCGGAACATCCGTGTAAAACAGTGGCCTTTAATACCAACAAAGACCATGCATGAGCGAGTGACCTCCAGAGCAGTGCTGAGCCGGCCTCTCTGGGCCCTAAACCTGAATCAGTAATGGAGAAATCAACATATTTACATTAATGTTTGACTTTGAACCCAAGGACAGTCCAGGACCTGAGACCATTATTCTCCCTTTCCTCTTCTCAAACCCTTTTCACCTTTCCCATCCTTGATTCCTTTCCCCCCTCTCCCCTGTCCCTTTCTTCCTTTTCTTCATCCTCGTTCTTCTGATCACCAGTTCATCTGCCCCTCTAGGTCTCACAGGTTTCTCCCCTGTGCAGCCAACCCCACAGCCCACCTCTTTCAGGTCTAGCCTCCAGGTTCAGTGCAAGGAGGCAAGGACTGTCCCTCAGCCCAGGGAGCACTGTGGGGAGGAGGCAAGGACTGTCCTTCAGCCCAGGGAGCACTGTGGGGAGGAGGCAAGGACTGTCCTTCAGCCCAGGGAGCACTGTGGGGAGGAGGCAAGGACTGTCCCTCAGCCCAGGGAGCACTGTGGGGAGGAGGCAAGGACTGTCCCTCAGCCCAGGGAGCACTGTGGGGAGGAGGCAAGGACTGTCCTTCAGCCCAGGGAGCACTGTGGGGAGGAGGCAAGGACTGTCCTTCAGCCCAGGGAGCACTGTGGGGAGGAGGCAAGGACTGTCCTTCAGCCCAGGGAGCACTGTGGGGAGGAGGCAAGGACTGTCCCTCAGCCCAGGGAGCACTGTGGGGAGGAGGCAAGGACTGTCCCTCAGCCCAGGGAGCACTGTGGGGAGGAGGCAAGGATTCCCCTTCAGCCCAGGGAGCACTTGTTGGTGTTTTTCTTGTCAGATGGTTTCAGGTCAGCGCTGGAGGGCTTGCCGTTGTTTCCCTAGAGCCAGGAAGGTAGAAGAAGGGTCACTGTGTGAAGGGGTGCCTGGAGTAGGAGCCTATAAACTCAAGGCAATCTGGCCTTTATGAGAAACCCTGGCATTGTTCCTCCTCCTCTTCAACTGGCCTGCTTATTTACTTCTTTACTTCTTTCTTTCTTTCTTTCCTTCTTTATTGAGACAGGGTTTCTCTGTGTAGACCTGGCTGTCCTGGAACTCACTCTGTAGACCAGGCTGGCCTCGAACTCACAGAGATCCGCCTGCCACTGTGTTGCCTCAAACTCAGAGATCCACGTGCTTTTGCTTCCTGAGTGATGGGATAAAAGGCGTCCTATAGTCCAGTCCCGTGCTGCACCCCACCCCCACCCCAGTGGGTTTTTGTTTAGATAGAGTAGCTGAGGATAGCCTTGACCTCCTGATCTTCCTGCTCCCACCCCTCAGTGCTGGGTCTGGGTTCTGCATCTCTGCACTGCAGTTCTTGCAGACACACACAGTGGTACCCAGCAAGTAGAACCAACTCACCGATCTCCGGCCTCCCGACTTGAGCAAGATGTCACGCGCCAGGGAATTGAAAGCCTAAAGGGGAAACTGGTTAGGACAGGTTGGAGGAGAGTGTAAAACTATTAGGACTTTTATGTCTTGGAAGGTGAATCTCACCTCATCCACATTCATACTGGATTTGGCACTTGTCTCAAAAAATCGAATTCCATGCTCTCGAGCCAACTGTAGGGGGTGAGGAGGGAAGGAGAGAGCTGGATGACGGGCAGAAGCAAAGCATTCAGCAATCCCTGCTCACGCTGGTTCTCCTGGTCTGAGGCAAACAGCCGGGTCCTCTGCCCCTCACCTTGTCTGCCTGCTCTTTCTGCACCTTCCTCTTGGCCTCCATGTCACACTTGTTCCCCAGCAGAAGACGCTCCACGCCAGCAGAAGCATTCTGAAGACCAGAGCAGAACAAGAAAAAGCTGACTCTCTCACGTGACTCACACCTATAACTTCTGCATTTGAAAAGCTGAGGCAGAAAGACGGCTGTGAGTTCAAGACCACAGGGAGTTTGGGATACACAGTGAGTTTCACAACAGCTGGGGCTACAGAGTGAGACTTTGTCTCAAGAAGAAAGAACAAAAAAGGCGCAGTTGGGACTGGAGAGAAGGCTTTGGCAGTTAAGAACACAGACTGTTCTCCCAGAGGACCTGAGTTCAATTCCTAGCATCCACTTGGTGGCTCACAACCATGTATCACTAAAGTCCCAGGGGTCCACCACTCCCTTCTGACCTCTGAGGGCACCTGGTTCGCAGATGTACATATGTAGACAAAACACACACACACACAAATTTAAATAAATTAATTAAAGTTGAATCCTGCCCATTCTCACATCCACCACCCTCCAGGAGCACCTTGTTCCCCCATCTCTTTTGGAGGTGTCTCACCTCTTTGATGCTTTTCATCCAGTTCTGAATATTCTCGAAGGATTTTTCATCTGTGATGTCATATACTAGGATAATACCCTAAGGGATGACAGATTTCACCTGGGACCATATTCCCGTTAGCTTTCTACTGTCCTCTAAGTGACCCTTCCCAGTCCCACCCATGGGTCTAAACACAGGCCCTATGGGGCTCGCTACAAAACACATTACCCTCCTTCATCCCCTACCCCATGCTCGTCACCCTCCGTACTCACGAAACCATGACTTTAGCCCATGTCCATACCCACACTCATACCATGGCGCCTCGGTAATAGGCTGTAGTTATTGTCTTGAATCGTTCTTGGCCAGCCGTGTCCCTGAAGCAGAAGTTTTCACAGGGTGAAATGGAAGCAAGAAGCTCCAAGAGGGAGGGAAAGTCTTTTCCTAAGAGCTTAGCTTTTGCAGCACTGGGGGTGGGGCTGAAAGGAAAAGAGTCAGGAAACAGTAAAGGAGAAACGGACCAAGGGCAGTTGGGCTGCTACTCAGAGCTGCAGGGCTGGGAAACAGGATGTCTCTTGTTTACTCATAGATGCCAAGCACTGTCCTGAGTATCACTTTGTGTGTGTGTGAGAGATCCTATCTAACCCTCACGGTATCATTATGAAGCATGTCTCATTGTCCCCATTTTATAAATGAAACAAACGTGGGGAGGCTGGGTAACTGATGAAGGTCAAGCCGAACAGGGTTTAGACCCCATCTGCTGCTGTTTATCTGTCACACCACAATGCTTCAGCGAAAGCCTCAGCGCCTCCATACCTGCAGAGCCTCCACACCTGCGGCGCCTCCACATCTGCAGCGTCTCCACCCTTACAGTGCCTCCACACCTGCAGTGCCTCCACACCTGCAGCATCTATACACCTGCAGTGTCTCCACACCTGCAGCATCTCCACATCTACAGCGTCTCTACACCTGCAGTGTCTCCACACCTGCAGCATCTCCACATCTACAGCGTCTCTACACCTGCAGTGCCTCCAAACCTGCAGACACATGCAGTGTCTCCACACCTGCAGCGCTTCCGCACCTGCAGCATCTTCACACCGGCAGCATCTCCACACCTGCAATGCCTCCACACCTGCAGCATCTATACACCTGCAGCATCTATACACCTGCAATGCCTCCACAATTGCAGTGCCTCCACACCTGCAGCGTCTATACACCTGCAGTGCCTCCACTCCTGCAGTGTCTATACACCTGTATCGTTTCCACACCTGCAGCGTCTATACACCTACAGCGTCTCCACACCTGCAATGCCTCCATACTTGTAGTGCCTCTACACCTGCTGCATCTATACACCTGCAGTGCCTTGACACCTGCAGTGCCTTGACACCTGCAGCACCTTTGCATTTGCAGCACCTCCACACCTGCAGGGCCTCCACACCTGCAGCGTCTCTACACCTGCAGTGTCTCTACACCTGTAGTGTCTCCACCTCCTTACAACAGTCAAGCCACACTTCTGAATGTGACCTCCTGTGCTCTCAAAATGTTTAAGTTTTATTATTATTATATTATTTATTTATTTATTTATTTATTTTGGTTTTTCGAGACAGGGTTTCTCTGTGGTTTTGGAGCCTGTCCTGGAACTAGCTCTTGTAGACCAGGCTGGTCTCAAACTCACAGAGATCCGCCTGCCTCTGCCTCCCAAGTGCTGGGATTAAAGGCGTGTGCCACCACCGCCCAGCTATTATTATTATTATTATTATTATTATTATTTTATAGACAGGGTCTCTTTACGCAACCCTGACTTTTCTGAAATTCACCATGTAGCCCAGGCTGGCCTCAGACTCTCAGAGATCCACCTGCCTTTGCATCCTAAATGCTGAAATAAAGTTGCTCTCTAAAACTTAGAGAAAGCAATTGACTGCAAGTCAAATTTATAATTCTGGAACTTGTCTTTTTTTTAAGCACTTAGAACCTGTTTCTACATCCAAAGAATGCTCCAGGTGAGGAAAAAACACAAACAAACTAAAAGTGGGACACCAGGGACAGAAATGGAAGGACAGCTGAGTAAGCAAGATAGATAAATTAGGAGGCGTACTGGACAAAATAAAAAGGGAAAGAAATAAAGCAAAACAGAAAGACCGACGTGGTACCACATGCCGGTAATCCCAGGACTTGGGAGATAGAAGCAGCAGGATCAGGAGCTGAAGGTCATTCTCAGCTACGTGGTGAGTCCCAGGCCAGCCTGGGCTACAGAGTGAGTTCCAGGACAGCTAGGGCTGTTATACAGAGAAACCCTGTCTCGAAAAACCAAAAGAAGAAGGAGGAGGAGGAGGAGGAGAATTAGAAGGAGAAGGAGAACTGGAAGGAGAAAAAGTTAGGAAGAAGAAATGAGGGATGAAGGGGCAGGGCGTGGGTGCAGGCCCACATGGCAGCTGGGGAGCTGAGGAGCTGACTTACCAGACTTGCAGTTTGATCCTCTTCCCCTCAATTTCCACAGTTCGGATCTTGAAATCAATTCCTGGAGCGAAAGCCATGAGCCCAGGTGACTAAGTGTATTTATGTGAAAAGTGTGGGAGGGGGCGGGGGCTGCACCGGGAACTCTGCCGGGCAGACACTTGGGGTGACCTTGTTGGATGTGTAAACAGGGAGAACTTTCCCAAAGCTTTATTCCTATAGTAAGCACACTGTTTGTCCTTAGAATTGATGACGTTTCGGAGAAGTGATGAACTGCTCTCGAGGGGCTTAAAAGCGTTGCCCCCGACAGCTTTCACTTCCAACCGATCTCACTCTCCCAGTCTTCTTTCCCCCTCCCCCCCACACTCAGCCTATTGGTCCTCCAACCAGCCAGCTCGCCCTCCAGGGTAAAGAGGAACGGAAAAGGCAGCTGATTCACGACTCTGTGACTTAACTAGTGGGCCAGGCTTGGAACGGACGGACTGGGGCTCCATAAGATTCCTCTGGGGAATCAGTTCATTGGGAGAAGCGGTTTCTTTCTTTCCCTTTATCACCAGACTTGAGAGTCTCCGTCAAGAGGAGATAAAGATGAAGAGGGAGGAAAAAGAAAGGCCGCTCTTTTTACTGGAAATCTGGGCAGATCTCCCGGGTCTCTTAGGGGCCCCAGAGAGAAGGATGAGTCAGGAAGCTTACTCAGAGACCCCAAGGGCCCTCACTTCCACCCTCCTCACCCGGGGCACTCGGCCACTCTCTGCAGTGCCCTGTTAAGGGAGGGGGACTGGGAAGAGGATTAGAAAGGGAGAGGGGTGGAGGGGAAGTCTGAAACCCTGTGGATCAGAAGGAGAACAACAGAACTGGGAAGCAGGGGGAAAGCGAAATTGTGAAGAATTGGGAATGAATCTAGAGTTTAGATGGATGCGGTGAAGGATCCGGGGGGGGGGGGGGGGGGGAGGAGATGACAAGAGTCTATGTGAATCTGGGGAGACCAGGGGGCTATTACCAAGAACGGGACGGGTGGCAGCAACTGGAGTTACCTGGAGGCCTCAGAAAGATTAGAAGTTTTGAGAGTTAGTCAGTTATGGGGGGGATGAGTCTGGGACAGTGGTCGAGAGACAGGAAGCTAATGCTTTACTCCAAGAGGACCAAAAAGTAGGGTCCCTATTCATTCAGGAGGGTGGGCGGGGGCAGGGGGTGGGTCTGGGATATAGTCAGGGGGCTCACCGATGGTGGAGATGTAAGTGCTGTTGAAGTTGTCCTCTGCAAAGCGAATAATCAGACAGGTCTTGCCCACCCCCGAGTCCCCGATCAGCAGTAACTTGAAGAGGTGGTCGTAGGCTTTGGCCATGGCGGACTCTGGGGGCGCCGGGGGAGGGGTAGGGAAGAGCCAATACTGGTAGGCGGGATCGGAGGGCTGGCAGGCAAAAACCGCCAGAGTCCCAGCCAGGAAGTTTTCCTCCCTCTCCGCCCAGGCCCCGGGAAAGAAGAGAGGCGGCCCTGCTCGGGGCTCCACCCCTCTTCGCCAGTGGAGAGGCCTGTCCAGTTCCCGTGGTCCGGGCGCTGCTTCTCCAGCCTCGGCGAGACCGTCTCCATAGACCTTCCCGGTGTCTTCCGCTAGCTGTCTTTCCTCTCTTTCGACCGAAGTGGAAAGAGGAATCTTAAAGAGATTAGAGGAAGCGGGAAAGAATTTGCCAATAAGGGTGGAGATGGGGGTGCCACTGGAAATTGATTAAAAAAAAAAAAGCTGAGGCGCTATTCAAAGGCTTTTTGAGTTTGAGATAAAGATTCTTAGGACCTTAGTGTCAGCGTTGAGCGCCCTAAGTATCCAAATCCCTTTGAAAAGCAGCGCGTTGGGAGATTGATATACTTGGTCGACCTGCCCCCTGGTGGAGCACGATGAAAAATTGAAATGATAAAAATACGTCCCAACAACAACACTCAAAACACACACAACCTGGTCTCTCATTCTGGAGATCAGCCTGGAACTCAGTAGCACACCGGGCCTCCAATTCGTGGTAACTCTCCTGTTTCAGTCTCTCAGGTATGAAGACTACAGGTGTGAGCCACCATGCCCAGCTTTCTATCTGCTTTCTTTTATTGTTTTTTCGAGACAGGGTTTCTCTGTGTAGCCCTGGGTGTCCTGGAACTCGCTATGTAGCCCAGGCTGGCCTCGAACTCACAGAGATCCGCCTGCCTCTGCCTCTCGAGTCCTGGGATTAAAGGCATACGCCACCACTGCCCGGCTGAGAAACAATTTATTAGGAAAGACGGGGCTTGTTGTGGCTCTGAGAAGGTGCAGTCCATGCGGCAGCAGGAGCCTGGAGTAGCTGGTCACTTTTAGTCCACACTCAGGAGGTAGAGAGGGATGCGTGCTGGCGCTCAGCTCACTTTCACCATTTTATCCAGGAGACTGAGTGGTGTGGCTCACTGGTAGATAGATTTTCCCACCTCAGTTAACCCAATCTAGAAACTTCAGTCCAGACAAGCCCAGAGACTGGACTCCTAGCTGATTCTAGATCCTGCCAAATTGACAACCCATATTGACCATCACACACAACTAACTATTCCGGTTATTTTATTGACTAATTTATTCATTTATTACATTCATATTAGTGTAGGTACATGCCATAGTAAAACTTTGGAGGTCAGAGGACAAGCTGTAGGCTGTCCCACCAAACTACCCAGGCCATCTCACCAGCCTAAATTATTTATTTGAGGCAAGGTCTCTACGTATTGCCCAGGCCAGTCTCAAATTTGTATGATCATGTGATCATCTGGACTCAGCCTCCTCAATAGCTAGAACTACAATCATGTACAAACACCACTAGCTCACTATTTTTTTTGTAATTTATTTATTTTTTATTTTCTGTGCATTGGTGTGTTTGCCTGCATGTATGTTCGTGTGAGACTGTAAAATCTTGGAGTCACAGATAGTTGCTAGCTATAATGTGGAATTGAACCTGGGTCCTCTGGAACAGCAATCAGTACTCTTCTTTATTTATTTATTTATTTATTTTTACCAGAAAATGTATAAACTTTATTTCATTTAAAATCATTCTTTAGAATTAAATTTTAAATATTGGAGAAAAATCCAATTTCATTCTTTGTACAAGAATTGATAACAAGACAAAAAGCACACAAGCTTTGTTGTGTAGGAGTTCCTTTGTTGTGTAGGAGTTCCTTTGTTGTGTAGGAGTTCCTTTGTTGTGTAGGAGTTCCTTTGTTGTGTAGGAGTTCCTTTGTTGTGTAGGAGTTCCTTTGTTGTGTAGGAGTTCCTTCTGTTTGGGTGTTGTTGGTTTTTTTTGTTTGTTTTTTTTTTGTTTTGTTTTTTTTTTCGAGATGGGGTTTCTCTGTAGCTTTGGAGCTTGTCCTAGAACTCACTTGGTAGACCAGGCTGGCCTCGAACTCACAGAGATCTGCCTGTGTCTGCCTCCCAAGTGCTGGGATTAAAGGGCTGTGCCCAGCTGCAACCAGGGCTCTTAACCACGTTAACCATGAAGCCATCTCTCCACTCCCTCCCCTTGTTCTTAATGATCCTGGGGACTGGTCAAACACAGAGCCTGTGCGTGCTAAGCAAAGCATTTGACTACTTTCTGGGCCTCAGTTTCCCTTCTAACTCTTCTCTCGCAGCTCATACATTTCAGGCTGTAGCACAGACCTTGAGTCTTTTCTGGTTTTCCTCACTGGCCAGTCCTGCCCTTGAATCTTCTCTAAAGTCCAGGTATGGTGGCATAGACTTGCAATCCCAGCACACAGGAGACAGAAGCAAGATGATCATCGCAAGTCTGAAGTCAACCTACTTTGGTGGAGAGTTCCAGGCCATCCAGGGCTACATGAGATCTTTTTTTTTTTTTAAATATTTATTTATTTATTTATTTAGTATACAATATCCTTTCTGCGTGTCTGCCTGAAGGCCAGAAGAGGGCATTAGACCTCATTACAGATGGTTGTGAGCCACCATGTGGTTGCTGGGAATTGAACTCAGGACCTTTGGAAGAGCAGGCAATGCTCTTAACCGCTGAGCCATCTCACCAGCCCCTACATGAGATCTTATAATGGCTAATCTTTTGTTTGTTTGTTTTTTCAAGACAAGGTTTCGGGCTGGAGAGATGGCTCAGAGGTTAGGAGCGCTGACTACTCTTCCAGAGGTCCTGAGTTCAATTCCCAGCAACCACATGGTGGCTCACAGCCATCTATAATGAGATCTGGTGCCCTCTTCTGGCATGCAAGCATACATGGAAGAAATGTTGTATACATGATAAATAAATAAATCTTTAAAAAAAAAAAAAAAGACAAGGTTTCTCTGTAACATTGGAACCTGTCCTGGAACTCTGTAGACCAGGCTGGCCTCAAACTCACAGAGATTCACCTGCTTCTGATTCCTGAGTGCAGGGATTAAAGGCATGTACCACCACCCCCGGCATGATGGTCAATCTTAGTTGCCCACTTGACTTAACTGAGGAATTGCTTCCATCAGATTGGACTGTGGGCATATCTGGAGGGGGGCAATTGCTTTCTTTTTTTATTTTTTAGATAGGGTCTCCCTATCTCTACATAGATTTATTTATGAATATCATTACGTGTGTGGATATTCTGCCCTTGCATGCTTGTAGGCTTGGGAGTATACTATATGCATACCAGGTACCCTTGGGACCAAAAGGTTGGTGTTGGATCTTCTGAAACTGGAGTTACAGACAGTTGTGAGCCTCTGTGGTTGTTAGCCATGTAACTGGTGGGAATCAAACCCCTGGTTCTCTGAAAGAGCAGCCAATGCTCTCAACTAGAGGCAGCTCTCTTTAGCCTTAGGCATTTTCCTAGTTGCTAATTGAAGACAGAGGGCAGAGCTTTGTGTGGGAGGTATCATCCCTGGGAGGTAGGGCTGTTGTATGAGAAAGGGAGCTGAGCTAGGGGGTGGTGGCACAAATCTTTAATCCCAGCACTTGAGAGGCAGAGGCAGGTGGATCTCTGTGAGTTTGAGGTCAGCCTGGTCTACAGAGGGAGTTCCAGGACAGCCAGAGCTACACAGAGAAATCCTGTCCTGAAAAAAAAAAAAAAAAAAAAGGAAAAAAAGGAAGGGGAGCTGAATGTGAGCCCCCTGGGAATAAGGCAATGGTCTTCCTTGGTTTTTGCTTTCGACTTCTGCCTTGAGCTCCCTCAATAATGAACTGTAACCTATAAGCCAAATAAACCCATTTTCTCACCAGGTTGCTTTTGGTCAGAAGGTTTATCACAGCATCAGGAAGCAAACCAGCACACATGGAAGGGTGGAGAAAGTGGTAGTGAAGACCTTGAAGCCTCGCATGTAAACTGAGCAATCCACAGGTTAGTGAAGGGGAAAGGCTTTTTTTTTTAAGTCTTTATTTATTTATTATGTATACAGTGTTCTGTCTGCATGTGTGCCTGTAGGTCAGAAGAGGGCTCCAAATCTCACTACAGATGGTTGTGAGCCACCATATGGTTGCTGGGAATTGAACTCAGGACCTCTGGAAGAATAGCCAGTGCTCTTAACTTCTGAGCCATCTCTCCAGCCCCGAGAAAGGCTTTTTTTGTTCTTTGTCTGTGTTTGTTTTTTGAGACAGGGTTTCTCTGTGTAGCCCTGGCTATTCTGGAACTCAGAGATCTGCCTGCTTCTGCCTCTCGCATGCCTAGCTAAGGGGAAGGTTTTTATTGTGAGAAGGAACAGCCAGGGGTATCTGGAAGAGTCAGAACAAAGAAAGATGCAGACTGAACAGGGATGGGGTGTCTTGAGAACAGGGAGACTAGCAGGAGATAGAGTCTAGAGAGATGGCAGCGAGAGGCAGGAGCTGTGCATAGGGAGAACACAGTGAGAGCAGCAGGTTAGAAGAATGGGAGCCGCTGGGGGGAGGGAGCCCATGGGCTGGAGAGTTTAGGATGGTGGAGGTGAGAAGGGCTAGGAAGGGAGTGAGACTTTGAGATGTGTAACAGGCACTGTGGTTCGGCAGCCTGGAGGCCAGCATGAGCACAGGTAAGGGAAATGACTCCTTTTGGTAAAAGGGAACCAGTTTCACAAGTTCCTGAGGAAGACTGTTTTTTATCAAACCAAGAGAAATCCTTTAACAGTCCAGGTTGAGTTCATTTCTGGATATTTGGTCTGTCCCTTGGAGCTTGGGGAACTGGAGTATCTTTTGGACCTGACAGTGCTCCCAGAGGCAAGAGGCTGGAGGATCTCTGTGGGTTTAAGGCCAGCCAGGGCTAAGCAGTGAGAGCTATTTCCAGTAAGTAAATAAGAATAAATAACAGCACTGGGTGTGTCATAGATGGAGGTGAGGTAAGGCCAAAGAGCAGGACCAGCCCCTTGACAGACAGGTATTGACAGCTGATGGTTCCTGGGGAGAGAAGATGCCACTGATGACTTAGCTGAGCCCATGGACAACCATGCCCTGTTGGCGTCCTGGTTAAACTTGCGCCACAGAACAAATCCCAAACAAGAACAAAACAAAGACGGGGTGACTGGTTGTGAGGACAGCTTTTCCGAGAGAAGGTAGTGTAGCTAAGGGAATGTATTATGTGCAGATACGAAAATAATTTTTTTTAAAGATTTATTTATTTACTCCGTATACAGTTTTCTGCCTGCACACCAGAAGAGGGCACCAGATATCATTCCAGATGGTTGTGAGTCACCTTGTGGTTGCTGAGAATTGAACTCAGGACCTCTGGAAGAGCAGCCAGTGCTCTTAACCACTGAGCCATCTCTCCAGTCCCTTGAAAATAATTTTTTTTTTTTTTGGTTTTTCAAGACAGGGTTTCTTTGTAGCTTTGGAGCCTGTCCTGGAACTAGCCCTTGTAGACCAGGTTGGCCTCGAACTCACAGAGATCCTCCTGCCTCTGCTTCCCAAGTGCTAGGATTAAAGGCGTGAGCCAACACCACTCAACTGAAAAAAAAATTTAAAAAAAAGAGAAGCTGGTGATGGGCGTGGTGATGGGTGCCTTTGATCCCAGCACTCAGGAGGCGAGGCAGGTGGAGCTCTGTGAGTTTGAGGCCAGCAGGTCTATGTACTGAATTCCAGGATAGCCAGGGCTCCATATAAAGATAAATATGTTGTCTCAATCTCCACCCCCCACTGCCCCAAAAAAGAGAGAGCTAGGGAGGGAGAGGGAGTTAGAGTGGGAAGGCGGTGGGCGGATAAGGGTGCCTGCACCACACCTAATGACCTGCCTTCATTGCGCAGGACTCACGTGGGAGGAGTTAACTCACTCCTGGAAGTGATCCTCTTATCTGTCTCACAAAACACAAGTTAAAATGTAATAAAAAGTTAAAAAGAAATAAGTAAATAAATCACTGTTTAGTTTTCATGGGTGGTTCTGACAAAAGCTCATAAATTCTTTCCCCCTCATTCTATTTTTTTTCCCTTGTATCAGGATTTTTTTTTAATTTTTTTTATAAAACTTCCTTTTTTATATATATATATATATATATTATTTATTTATTTATTTATTTATTATGTATACAGTGTTCTATCTGTGTGTATGCCTGCAGGCCAGAAGAGGGCACCACACCCCATTACGGATGGGGGTGAGCCACCATGTGGTTGCTGGGAATTGAACTTAGGACCTTTGGAAGAGCAGGCAATGCTCTTAACCACTGAGTCATCTCTCCAGCCCTTGTATCAGGATTTTTAATTCCAAGCAAAGTGTTCTGTCTACTCACATCTCTGGTACTCTAGCTGGTATATTTCACTGCAGTTTCATCTCCTCACATCCTCTCCTTAGCTCTCTCTCAAAGCTTCTGCAAGGATGACTTTTACCCCCGCCCCATTTTTTGGAACTTAGTTTACTTCATTCATTTTTTAATTTTTTTTTTTTTGAGACAGGGTTTCTCTGTGGTTTTGGAACCTGTCCTGGAACTAGCTCTTGTAGACCAGGCTGGTCTCGAACTCACAGAGATCTGCCTGCCTCTGCCTCCCAAGTGCTGGGATTAAAGGCGTGCACCACCACCGCCCGGCTTTAATTTTTTTTAAAAAATTTATTTATTTATTATGTGTAAGTGTTCTGTCTGCATATATGCCTGCATGCCAGAAGAGGGCACCAGACCTCATTACAGATGGTTGTGAGCCACCGTGTGGTTGCTGGGAATTGAACTCATGACCTCTGGAAGAGTAGTCAGTGCTCTCAACCTCTGAGCCATCTCTCCAGCCCCATTTTTTAAATTTTTATTTCATTCTGGGACTCTAACCCATGGCCTCACACACATTAGAGAAGACTTCTACCAACTAAGTTACAGTCTTGGCCTCTGAAGATTTCTACCCTTTGGAACACCGCTACCCAGGGACCGAGAAGAAAGGAAAGATGAAGATCAAAGTATACTCCTCCTGGAATGAGTAAAGGTTGGGAATGTCCACCTGCTGGAGCTGCAGAGATGGCTCAGCAGTTAAGGGCTGAGGATGCTTCTGCAGAGGACCCGAGCTCCATTCCTAGCACCCTTGTTGGTAATTTACAACCACCTGTAACTCAGCTCCAGAGAAATCAGAAGCTCCTGGCCTCTTCCAACATCTGCATGCATGTGTCTCACAACGGCATGGACGCATTTTTTTTTTTAGATTTGTTTATTTATTATGTGTACAGTATTCTCAGAATTCTTTCTGCATGTATGTCTGCAGGCCAGAAGAGGACACCAGATCTCATTACAGATGGTTGTGACCCACCAAGTGGTTGCTGGGAATTGAACTCAGGACCTTTGGAAGAGCAGGCAGTATTCTTAACCGCTGAGTCATCTCTCCAGCCCATGGACACAATTTTTTTTTTAAAGATAATTGTTTTTTTTAAGATTTATTTATTTATTATGTATACAGTGTTCTGTTCTGTCTGCATGTATGTCTGCAGTCCAGAAGAGGGCACTAGCTCTCATTACAGATGGTTGTGAGCCATCATGTGGTTGCTGGGAATTGAACTCAGGACTTCTGGAAGAGCAGCCAGTGCTCTTAACCTCTGAGCCATCTCTCCAGCCCTGGACACAATATTTTAAACGTAACAAAAAATAAGAATCTTTACAATGTCTACTTGTTTATTTCATGGAGGAAGAAAGATGAGCAAATGGCTTTGTTAATCCTCCTGGAGAAGGATGCAGCGAGGTACCTGAATTCCCATTAGGAGTGGGCTGACAAAGGATCAACAACCAGTTTCTCACAGGAAAGCCCTGCGCGTGTAGTTAATCTCACTGAAGTGCATAGACTCACCATGGCTGATACCAAAATCTAGTCTTGGGAATCGGTGAGAGCTGGTTCCAGCTGATTTCTCCTGGAACAGAGTAATTTCGGAGGCAACGGCATTTAGGCTGGAAGACAATGTGCAAACATCTAGCAAAGAAGAATTCTCGGCTGAGGAAAGATACTGCGAATGCAAAACTGAAAGGCTGAGGCTGTAGCACAGTACCACCCAGCTGGCTTAGGTTCTTAACACAGTACCTTCTCCACAGCACACACACTAGCTATCACAGCATGCCTGTCACCGGAGCACTTTCAAGGTGGGAGGTCAGCTTGGGAGGAGAAACACTGTCCTCCTTAGTACTGGGATTAAATGTGTGCACCAGCTGGGTGGTGGTGCACATCTTTAATCCCAGCACTCGGGAGGCAGAGGCAGGTGGATCTCTGTGAGTTCAAGGCCAGCCTGGTCTACAAGAGCTAGTTCCAGGACTGGCTCCAAAGCAACAGAGAAACCCTGTCTCGAAAAACATAAAAAGAAAAAAATGTCTGCACCACAAACCAGGTGGTAGAGGCTCAATCCTTTAATCCCAGCACTCAAGGGAGGCAGAGACAGGTGGAGTTCTGTGATTTCAAGTCCAGCCTGGTCTACAGAGTGAATTTCAGGGCAGCCAGATACACAGAGAAACTCTGCCTCAAAATAAATAAGTGAAGCCGGGCGGTGGTGGCGCATGCCTTTAATCCCAGCACTTGGGAGGCAGAGGCAGGCGGATCTCTGTGAGTTCGAAACCAGCCTGGTCTACAAGAGCTAGTTCCAGGACAGGCTCCAAAACCACAGAGAAACCCTGTCTCGACAAACCAAAAACTAAATAAATAAATAAATAAAATAAAATAATAATAAATAAGCAAATAAATAAATAAATACATGTGTGTGCCACTATCCCCTGGCAGAGACACCATCTTAAAAAACAAAAAAACCTTCCACCAGTGGTGGTGGAGCAGGTCTTTAATCCCAGTACTTGGAAGGCAGAGGAAGGTGGATTTCTGTGACTTGAAAACAAACATCTTTTGAGCTATGATGTAGAAACAGTTTCTAAATGCTTAAAAGACAAGTTCGAAACCAGGTGGTGGTGGAGCATGCCTTTAATCTCAGCACTTGGGAGGCAGAGGTAGGCAGATCTTTGTGAGTTCGAGGCCATCCTGGTCTACAAGAGGTAGTTCCAGAACAGCTAGGGCTGTTTACACTGAGAAACACTGACTCAAAAAAACCAAAACCAAAACCAAAACCAAACCCAAAAAGCCTTGTAGTGGTGGGAAATATTTGTGTTTTGCCTACACGTCTCTGAGATACTTTTGTATGAGGGTGTGAAATCAACTGGAGATGGATTGCATACACTTGTGAGCTGCCATGTGGGTGCTGGGAACTGAACCGTGGTCCTCTGGCTGGATAGGCAGTGTTCTTAACTGCTGAGCTATCTCTCCAGCCCCAGTAAATGTCTTTTAATCCCAGTAGAGGCAGGCGGAACTCAACTCTATGAGTTCAAGACCAGCCTGGTCTATAGAGTGAGTTTCAGGACAGCCAGGGCTACACAGAAAAACCCTGTCTCAAAAAAAAAAAAAAAATCAATTCACAAATTGCAGATACACTACAATAATTGTAGGGAATTATTTTCAGTATTTGGTGTATAGCAAAGGAATAAATTTCACTTTTAGACCTAGAACCTATTTCCAAAGATATCTTTATTATGTGTATTGCAAATATGCTAAAACCCAAAATTATTCTGCGCAATCTGTACGTACACATATGAAGAGTGACATGTTCATTTAAGCTTGGAAAAGCCTTTATTTGTTTTTATTTTATTTATTTATTTATTTATTTATTGTTTTTTTGAGACAGGGTTTCTCTGTGGCTTTGGAGCCTGTCCTGGAACTAGCTCTTGTAGACCAGGCTGGCCTCGAACTCACAGAGATCCACCTGGCTCTGCCTCCCAAGTGCTTGGATTAAAGACGTGAGCTACCAGCGCCCAGCTTTTGTTTTTATTTTTAAGACAGGCTTTTTTTTTTTTTTTTTTTTGGTGTAGCCCTGGCTATCCTAGAACTAAAAATTGCTAGGTTGGACTGGAACTCACAAAGATCTGCCTGTCTCTAAGACACTGGAATTCACAGTCCACCTGTCTCTGCCTCCCCAGTGCTGGGATTAAAGGTGCCACCACGGTGCCTGGCTTGGACAATTTAATTTCTCTAAACAACAAAAAATCTGTACAATAACAGTAACAGTTTACTCATGGCTAATTAGCAGACTTGTTTCATTTTGATTTGGTTTTTAGAGACACAATCAGTCCGTGTGGTTCCCGCTGTCCTAAAATCCCTAGATCAGGCAGGCTGGAACTCAGTCCTCTCCACTCTGCTGCCAGAGGGCAGAGGTAAAAGGCGTGGCCAATCACGTGCGGCCTTTAATTAGTATGTTCAAAAACAATGCTCGCGTCAAGAGCTACACACATACTGGATTTTATTCTTCTTCAAAGGGAAAGAATTGTAAGAATACAAAATCGGGTGCTACCCTTCGCCCTGGAAAACAGCACTAAGTAAACCATGGTTAACAATGGTTAGCTGTAGAGGAGCAAATATGAACAGGATTTTTTCCCCCGCGGGCTCCTGTAGTCCACACTTGACCTCACATTTGCTATGGAGCCCAGGATGATTTTGAATTTTTTATTCTCCCGCCTTCGAAGCGTTGCGACTACAGCTTTGAGTCCCTGACAGCACCACTATGCACTGCCTGCCTTGTCCTGGCCAGTTTACAAAACGCTGGGAACTCAATCCAGGGCTTTGTGCTTGCTAAGGAATCAGTCTAACGTAGTACACCAACTCCAAGAAAACATTTGTTAATCAGGGTAAATCGTACGGAATCCCAGTCAATGACGTCCTTTATTAAGCTCCTGGCTGGTGTTCACCTCTGCTGTTCCCATTCCACTCCAGCTGTTAAAGCTCAGGAAGAAAATTTTAACCTCTGCATTTTTCTTTTGACAGCAGCAAAACCATGAACTCAAAATAGAAGCTAACTCTCTCACCATGGTTATGCACCCGTGACACGAGGAGCCTTGACAGACTTTCTGAAAATGGCAGCCCACGGCTCAACCGCTAGCATTCGAACGGCAAGCAGGACCTTCCCAAGATGGCAAAACAACACGCACTCGTCACTTCCTGTGCCATAGCGGATATAAGGAACAGGATTTCCGCTTTCGCTCCTTTCCGGCGGTGACGACCTCCCTACGAGAACATGCCTGTGAGTTGCTTGGCCCGGGTTTCGGCAGAGCGCTCGCGCTGGTGTCTGTACGCCCCTCTCGTGCTAATTGCAGACCGTAGGGGGTCCTCACTCACGCCCCGCGTTGTCGTAGGACGGCAATTCCGGAGCCGCGGAGGCCGGCCGGCCACCCGCGGAGACGGGAGCGGAGAGGAGATAAGATGGCGGCCCAGCTACGCAGACACCAGGGGCGGCGAGGGGAGCGTTCTCCTCGGTGTGTGGCACTGGGGACCGTTTTCCACCATCTCTTTTCACGTTAGCTCTGCATTTCTGTCCCTCATAGCTCGCAAAGGATCTCCTTCATCCCTCACCAGAGGAGGAAAAAAGGAAACACAAGAAAAAGCGCCTGGTGCAGAGCCCCAATTCCTACTTTATGGATGTGAAGTGCCCAGGTGAGGAGTGTATGCCAACTCTGAGACTCGGGGAAGAGCTAGTCCTGGGGTGTAGCATGGTATTTACTCAGAAGGAAGACTTGGAGCTCCGTCCTAGGATGCATGCTTAGATTAGCGATAGAGATCGCGCAGTTTGTGTTAGGGAACAATAAGGGGATGGACGCATGGCGAGCAGTGAAAGCAATGACCGTGATTGTTGAATTGTCTGTTTCCAGGATGCTATAAAATCACCACGGTCTTTAGCCATGCACAGACGGTAGTCCTGTGTGTCGGCTGCTCCACTGTCCTCTGTCAGCCTACAGGCGGGAAAGCAAGACTGACAGAAGGTAAGTGGCCTTCATGTTGGGCTTTTGGTGTTTGGATCCTACGGTGTCGGGCTTGCTGGTCACTCACTGTATTGCTCTCAAAGCCCTAGTGCTTAAAGATAAGGGTGGGCTGGTTTTGTTGAAAGTTTTTCAGTTGTCTCCAGGCGATGAGTGTGGTGAACTTGAATCACTAGGCTCAGGTGAAGGGTCAGTGCAGGCTATGGGGTGAGTAATACTTTGGACCTGTTTCTTCCAGGATGCTCCTTCAGGAGGAAGCAGCACTGAAAAGCACCGGATTCGAGATGAGTGGGAACCATCCCAATAAACACATTTTGGTATATAGTGTTTGTCTTGTTTAACTGGTAGGAAGTTGTGCCTCAAGTATCCCAGGGCAACCAGAAGAGTGGTCCTTTTGGGTCAAGTAAGTGACCAAATACCCAAGAGTTCATTTCGGCATTCATAGCTCAGTTCACTGGGAGAATCTTAGACCGTGGTTTAAAGCTAGTGATACTGTATAATTATAATTGGGCTTTGTGTTCTTGGTATTTACTGTTTCAGGGAAACACTAGTTCTTAGCAGGAAGCATTAGCTGGGTGGTGCACGCCTTTAATCCCAGCTCTTGGGAAGTAGGAGCAAGCTGACCTCTATGAGTTCAAGGTCAGCCTTGTTCTACCCGAACTAGTTCCCAGGACAGCTAGAACTGTCACATTGAGAACCCTGTCTGGGGCGTTGGGGTGGGGGGCTGAGGTAGAGTGGGGTTGGGGAACAAGGACAGGACACCTTTGTGTCATACAAAGGTGTGGGACGGTGGGTCTTTTCAGGGAATGGTGGTACAAACTCCTACTTGAAAGAAGCAGGCAAATTCAGAACAGCTGGGGTTACTGGTGTAGGTGTGTTGTTTTAGACAGGGTCTTACCTAGCTTCAAGTCTTCTGTAGCAGGGGATCCCCCTCCCCTAGCACCACCATATCAATTTATGTGGTGCTAGGAACAGAAACCTAGGGCTTGTTGTGGCCCCAGAAACTTTACAAAACATGACTTTGAATAAAACTACTTAAGATTCTTTATTTATAGCACATAGAAAAACTTGTTTTGGAGCTTTAGTGTAAAGTTGGCTACTAGGCTTCTGCAGAATTAGGTATCCCCTCCATTCTGCAGTAAAGGGGATGTGTCCATATTGAGATTAGTGCTTTATACTCCATAACCAGTGTTGTAGCCGACTCTGTACCAGTGGTGGCTGTGGCCTCAGGAAGTGAGGGGGAGAACATGTGGTTGTGTAAGAACCTGTAAGAAAAGAAACAACTTGGTAAGTAAGTGAAGCACATGGCTGAAGTTCTGAAAGGTGGTTCTTTTTGGTTTTTCGAGACAGGGTTTCCCTGTGGCTTTGGAGCCTGTCCTGGAACTAGCTCTGTAGACCAGGCTGGTCTCGAACTCACAGAGATCCGAGTGCTGGGATTAAAGGCGTGCGCCACCAGCGCTAGGGCGGTGGTTCTTTACCTGTCTGAGCTGTTCCTATAGTTGGTACATAAACAACTGGAATAGTCTGTATCTTGTTCAGGAAGGCATTGTATGCTGGAAAAAGGAAACACCACAAAAAGCTTTATGTGATTTTGATTGCAGGAAGGCCTTGAAGATTAAAGTCCAATCAAAAATGAGATTTAAAGGGCGGCAAGATGATTCAGCCAGCAGACTCTTGACAAGTTGTCTTAAGTCCCCAGAACCTACACAGTGGAAGGAGAGAACAGACTCCCTCAAGTTGCCTCTGACTTACACATTTGAGTCAGGGCATGATTGTGCTTCCTCCTTAACCCAAGCAAATATGTAAGAAATAAATAAAATGAAATTTAAGTATTAGTATAAAGGTTATGTTTCCAGTTAGTCTGCCTTCAAAAAACACTGCCCTGTGTACTAATATTAACTTGTAATTCCTTAACTAGTACAGTGCAGGTATGACATTTGTAGCTGTAGGTATAAGATGATTTAAGTATACGAGTAGATGTATAGATTAAGTGGCAATGCTCTTGAATGCTGGAAGTTTCAGTAATTGCTATGGGTCCTGGAACTGCCTCTCTGTAGTACTGAAGGGGAGATGCGATGATATGCATCTTAGAGGTATTTTCTTTGCACTTTTGACTAAAAGTGCATGTGTAGGCGGTAGTGCTATCTCTTGATTTTTTTTTGAGATGGTTTCTCTGTGTAACATAACCCTGACTGTCCTGGAGCTTGCTTTATAGACCAGGCTGCCTGCTTCTTCCCGAGTGCTGGGATTAAGTGTGTGGGCCATCATGCCCAGCAAGTTGACCTTTAGTCGACTAGGCTCACTCAGTGTTTGTGTCATAGATTGGTTTGTGAAGAGTCAAAAGTCTACCATGTAGACTCCTTACCTAGGAAGATGAAAGCAGTTGATGCCAGCACAGCAAAGAGGGTAAATAGGAGGATCTGGTAAGAACCAGCAACATTCTTGAAGACACCTGAATCTTCACAGTGATCTGCATTGCCATAATGGGATGAGATCATACATTAATAATATCCAGAGGAGATGGTGGCTTTAATCCTAGTGCAGAGACAGCTGTATCTTTTGACTAGTTCAAGGCTACAAAAAAAACAGGGTCCCAGTGTACTGATACTGCCCACTTGGGATAATGAAGTTAGAAGACAGTGATATCTCAAATCCCATGCCGCCCTGCAAATGGAATTCAACCCAATGCTGGTGCGTCAATGGATATTAGTGGACTTTCTACCATTTTGCCAGCCTGCTGACTGTTTCTGACCCTTCTCTCTCACTTGTGTGCATGCCATTTCTGTCTTTGTCTCAGCTGTTCATAATAAAACGTGTAGGGTTTGCCCCCACACTAAAAAGTCCTAGATACCATATTTTGAAGAACGACCTTGATGTCTTGATCCATCCTTTTGGCCCATTTGTAGTGCTGGGACTACAGGCCTGAGGGTTACAAGCTAGGCATTAAGCCCAGGGCTTCACACACACTTAGCTTGTATCACATGAAATTACACACCCTTAGCCAAAGCTTGTTTTCTTTTTCATTGGTTTTTCAAGGTGATTTCTCTAACAGCCCTAGCTGTCCTAGCCTTGAACTCAGCTTCTTGCCTCGTCCCCCTGAGTAATGTGCTACCATGTTTGGTTTTTTGTAAGCACATTTGTCTATATTTGATTATTTCAGAGGCCCTCAGCTCTAGCATAGTCTTCCTCAAGCATGTTATTTATCCTGGGTTGTTGAAGGTGCTGGGAGATAATTGAAGTAGTGTTTGGTCAAGCACAAGGAACAGGATTTCTTTGCCTGCCTCTAGACATGTGCTACCACTGCCCAGCTAAGAGCTGAGTTTTGTATATATGCACACAGGCCCATGTGGTTTCCTGTTATTCCAGTTACACATGGGCCAGCCATCCTAGCCTATATTTCCTTCTAGCCAAGTGAGAACAGGTTGATGGTTCCTGGGGTGGCACTGGAGGGTGACTGCTTCAGTCCACACTTAGTGTGTGTACCCTGCCATGAACAACAAACCACTGCAGTAATCTGATCATCATACCCTGCTGTTTATGCAGATAGTTTCTGGATGGGGTCTAAGTAAGATTTGGACATAATGTTACTTGTAGCATTTGCCTGTGCCCACGAATTGTGACCTAACACTTCATTTATGCAGGTTTCCCATCCCCCCACCTCCTGACAGGGTTTCTCTGTAGACCAGGCTGCCTTCCCAAGTGCGTGAGGTGGGGAGATGAGAAGTCAGAGGGGATCCAGCCTTCCTATAGTCCAATACCTGTTACTGTAAAAAGGTGACTGGGTGTAGACTTGGGAGCTAGAGGCAGGAGGCCAACCTGGTCTACATAACAAAATCTGGGCTGGCCAAACTGTAGGCCAAAAGTGTTGGGGGGGCGGGGATTCGCTGTTCCTAATACATTCTTTCCCCGTGTAGATTAAAAATAGTCCCCAGTGCTCACCTGAACCAGATAGGTCTTTGGCTCTGACCACCACAGCCTCATGCTGACTGGTGAGTGCGCAGGAAACGTTAATGAAAACCGGTGAGGACAGCTGGAAGGCGGTGAAGTTGACTGCTCTTACTAGGTAGATAACCAGGCCTGTCATGAGGGTAGAGTGCCTGTGGCCAGAGACTGCTAGAAATGGGGAGCTGGAAAAGACCTTGGAGAAAAGAGA